GCACATTTTACTCACCCCTTTGCACGCCTCTTTGGCCTCCTTGCTCAAACTCTTCGGATAGGAGACATTGTGGTCGGTAATGGCAGCAAACAACTCTTCTTCATCCTCACCATCGAACGGAGGCTGGCCAACGAGCATTTCGTAGAGCAAAACGCCATAAGCCCACCAATCTACCGATTTGCCGTACGGTTGATATAGAATGATCTGTTAACAAAAAATAGTGAAATAAGTGTAAGTGAAAATAATACTGAAGATTTCAAAGCGTTAAACCGGTTGCCGTAATAGGTATACTGCTTCGAAAATGTGTCAGACTCAGTAATGGAGTTTATGAGCTATAAATCGCTCGAAGTGGTTTTGTGAAAGTGATTAAAGTTTTTACGGATAAGTATTTATAAACATGGAGCTCTCCGGTTTCATCTAATGCCTTTTACATGTTAAAGGCGGGGAAGTTATAGTATTTATCTTTATTAAAGAAAAGGGATATGATTTTTTCTTCTGATCAATTCCAAAGGTTCTCATAGAGTTTTCTCAAAGTTAGAAAGTGTTTAAGTCTTAACCTCTAAAACGCGGGACAGTCGAGAAGGAAATGTTGACTTGATTCCACCTCATTTTCTTCTTCTGAAAATGACGTCTGGTAACATTTCCAACCTTACTGCATGGACGCCAATAGGGTAATGGCCTGTAAAAAGCCCCACAACTAGGAAAAGGCTAATCTTTCTGAGTGCAAAAAGATCACTAGATCTCTTGCGATGGATCTTGGGCCAAAAGGCTTTTGCGACAGTATATGTACCGATGGTGGCTCAACACTGACTAAGCTTCTGCGAAGCCTAGCTATTTAGTAGTAAATATAATAGTCTTATCACAAAGACATTCGATTCTTTTGAGAGCGAGGTTAGAAACTCTTCGTAAAATTCTGAACGAACAGCTAATGAGTTCAAGACTAGTATCGCCGCTCTGCTATCTGAGTGAATGGTCTCTTCCCTAAAGGAGGTTGCACTCCGGAGCAGTAGATCTGCTGCTACCTTAATGGCTGCAACCACGGCTTGGAAAACACTACAATAGTCAGGTAGTCTGAAACTGGAGTTAATAGAGAGCTCCTGACNTAATGGAGTTTATGAGTTATAAAKCGCTCGAAGTGGTTTTGTGAAAGTGATTAAAGTTTTTACGGATAAGTATTTATAAACATGGAGCTCTCCGGTTTCACCTAATGACTTTTACATGTTAAAGGCGGGGAAGTTAATTTATTTATTTTTATTAAAGAAAAGKRATATAATTTTTTCTTCWGATCATTTCCAAAGGTCCTTATAGAGTTTTCTGAAAGTTAGGAAGTGTTTRAGTCTTAACCTCTCAAACGCGGGACAGTCAAGAAGGAAATGTTGACTTGATTCCACCTCATTTTCTTCTTCTGAAAATGACGTCTGGTAAGATTTCCAACCTTACTTCATGGACGCCAATAGGGTAATGGCCCGTAAAAAGCCCTACAACTAGGAAAAGGCTAATCTTTCTGAGGGMAAAAAGATCGCTAGATCTCTTGCGATGGATCTTGGGCCAAAAGGCCTTTGCGACAGCATATGTACCGATGGTGGCCCAACTCTGACTAAGCTTCTACGAAGCCTAGCTATTTATCAGTAAATATAATAGTCTTATCACAAAGACATTCGATGCTTTTGAGAGCGAGGCAGTAGATCTGCTGCTACCGTAATGGCTGCAACCACGGCTTGGAAAACTCTAGTCAAGCAGTCTTAAGCTGGAGTTAATAGAGAGCTCCTGACAGTAAACCCCTCCACCAACGTTCCCCCCAAGCTTTGACCCATCCGTAAAGAAGCTTACTGCCCTTGTCCTCCAATGGCTTCTTATTACCCATAAYTCCTTCGTCGGCATATGGGGAGAGAAGGAGCCGCCAGAGTTAGCTTTGGCGACACCATGATCCAAGTGATTCGGTATGAAATTTAAATGTGTGAGGCTATTCGAGTGTTTTTTTAAGAAACCAGATTCTCTAAGTCTGATAGCAATTTTCGCAACCGTCTATGGATACGGATAAAATGGCGTTAATGGCCATAGTTGGAGTGGACTTGATGCTGAGCGCCGCCCGTTGAAAATTTTCTAGTTTCTTTTGAAGTGTGGTATAGAATAAATGGGCTTGACTAAGAGGTCGTAGAACCAGAAGACCACTTTCGGTGGAAGATCCCACCAATAGCCTCTCAGCCATTTCTGATGAGTATCACCCCCTCATACTTAGGTGTCAGAATGCCGCAACCACCAGCTCAGGGTTCAAAGGTAAAGACGTCTACGAGTTGAAAGGCTTTGCAGGTCACAGGTCATTTAGAATGGACCAACTTGGACAACTTGACTTGGCAACCAGCACTTCACATCCACCTGTGAACTGGTATGAGCAATAGTTTTCCTGTGGAATAACAGAAAAGAATTCTCCCATGAAGAAATGAAAATTTTTCAGTGTACGAGCGCTTTAATGAGT